TTTTACTATGTTGATTCTACCAATCCATGAGCATGGGAGATCTCTCCACTTTCTATAGTCTTCCTCAATCTTTCTTCAGAAGTTTATAGTTTTCCTCTTCTAAACTTTTACTTGAATGCCTACACCCAAAATGTGGAAAGAGAACACAAGAATATCCATGTCTACACTTAAGAGGGAGCCTTTCCCCACTCTACTGCCTCTTAAAAAGGAATCCCAGAAGCAACCACCTCACTGGCTCCTTGATTCTTCGGTACATTGTCATGTTTTGTTTTGTTTTTTTCTTTCCAGTTATGGAGTCGCAGTTCTGGATAAGGTAAGAGAACTCTCATTTTGAAGGGGTGGGGTCAGATGGCATCCTAACTGATATTTTGGTATTCCCTAATAAACTCAGGCTGGGGTGAAGGGACACTTTCTTCCTGGATGCCTGGAGGGTACTGAGCATAGACACAGGTATTAGGGGACCCTGTGAGACCCAAGGCAAATAAGTCTACTATACACAAGCCAACCCAGGCACTAGTTCTAATTCTAGGACTTCAGGGGATCTAGAGTCTCCTGTAATATCTTTTCTTTTTCTCTCTAGGAAATCATCCAGCTTTCAGAGTACCTCAAAGTAAGTGGCATGGTGACCCTACACTCAGCTTGTCCACCCACCTACCCCCTCCTCCTCCAGGTTAATTTTACCATCTTGCATTTTACCATAATCTACCAGGAGGCCCTCCAAAGGGAGCTGGTACTGAAACAGAAAATGGTGATTCTCCAAGACCTGCTGTCTACCCTGATTCGGGCCTCTGACAACTCTTGGAAGGTAAGGAATAAAATCTTTGAATAAAACTCATGGGCTTCTATGTGTGCCCATCTCATTTTTCTTTGCACACCATTCATCAAGAGAGGACTGCTCCAGGTGCCAGTGGCTCAAGCCTACAATCCTAGCTACTCAGGAGGCAGAGACAGGAAGATCACAGTTCAAAGCCACCCAAAGGCAAGACCCTATCTCAAAAAAAAAAAAAAACCATCACAAAAGAGGGATGGTGAAATGGCTCAAGTAGTAAAGTACCTGTCTAGTGAGTGTGAGGCCCTGAGTTCAAACCTCAGTACCACCAAATGAAAGGTCAGGTGGGAGATTGTCTCACAATCAAAGAGTAAGATGGGAAGAGACAGGAGGTGGGGGTGCTCAGATCTAGAGATCAAACAGGTCACAAAGTGTATGGATCATCAACTGATAGTCATGCTGCTATGCACCCAGGGAAGGCTTAGAACCAAAAGTAGAAAGAAGGTTCACCTTTTAATTTGTGAGAAGAAAAGAAGGGAGATCCCAGTATAGTTTATATTACTGAATATGGTCAATATCTATGATTGTTGTATGGAATTCATTCCAATATCTATCTAAGCCAGCCTGCATTCAATGTTCAGCCCAGACATCTGTGTCAAAGTTGGAAGGGACCTTAAAGATGATCTAGTCTAATCTCATTTTGCCCATGATGAAAATGAGTCTCAGAGAAGTCACTTTACTTGCCTAAA